ATATGTAGCCTACGTAACCATTACAGATAAGTCTCATAAAAGGAATATTCACATCACTTTTTATTTTTATGGCTCCATCATTATGAGAAATGATGATTTTGCCAATGCCACGGTTGAAAGAAAAAAAAAACGAAACAAAAAAAAATTCGCTAAGCTCTAATAGGACATTAACCGGTGTTGGTAAGTTGGACCACAGGAGTATATTATCGAAATATGAATATACTTCTATCTGTTATCACTATTTATGTATTTTTATTTAGCCTTGATCCCATTCCGTGATATCTTGTTCCCAATTATTTTTCCTTCCCATTATATTCCACTTACAAAAACTACGCGTAATGATGCAAATACACCATTGGACTAACCTCCAAACCCAGCACCATAGGTGCCACTATGTGAGTTCCTAGGCCGGTCTCGGTCGCGACCATGGGTCCTGCTGGTGTCGCGGTGCCTACGTCCGCCGCTGCCGCCGTCGCTGTCGCTACGACTGCGATACTTTGACCGACTCCGATGCCGCGAATGACTACGACTTCTGTGTTTGGAGACACTGCGACGACGATCACGATCACCCCCCATTCCACTTCCTATGATCGTATCTAAATTATTGTATTATTTACAAAATAGATTATTAAAAATAACAGTGAAACTTTTGAAAACACTTCACTTTTCAAAGTTCGACCTAGGAACATAGCATTAATACACCTAACAAGGATCCCTCAACGTAACGATGTTTTGCCCTCGGACAACCTTCAGGGATCAGTATTTATTAAGTATTTCACACACAATATGCAATATCCTCATCGAAAAATTATGATTGTTGAATGTAATCAGTATTTGCACCACAAACAAACCACTAATACTATTTGTACCTAGTCTACAAACCAAACTTTAGGGTACTCTTTGCTTTGGCATTGGCACAAACCACTAATCTCTTTGGTCTAATGTGACAAGCAGTGTTGCCAGACTTTTACGAAATTAATTAGCCAGTTTATGTGTGTTAAGTAGCCGATATTCGCCCATCCCAAGCCATAAAATCCCTAAAAATCAAGGTATCACAATTCTACAATTCTGCTTGCTGCCGGAGTTTGGGGAATATGAACTCTCTTATTTTCGCAATTCCTCACACATTAAAGAAAAGATAAGCTCCCCATGAAAATGTACAAAAGTCTGTGACATTAAGAAAGAAAAATTGTTTATGGTTGGTTGGTCAGGTTCGGCGGGAATTTCCCGCGAAATCTAATAGATTAACTTTTAGTATACTTTTCAAAACAAAGTTTCTTGCAACTCCTCTTTAGTAATCTATCTGAATGTAGCTTGCTAATAAATTGACTGGTTTGCTTTAGTAAAAGAAAACAAAGAGGGCACAGCAGTTTTCTTTAACACTTTGTGTATAGGTTCATCACCTAAAATAGATAAAAATAAATTAACATATACTAGTAGAACAAAACCATTAGTATTAATGATAGAAGTGACAGGAATGAAAAGGAATACATGATATTTGTTTTGCAAAATTTCCTAAATTAACCTAACTTATTTTGAGGTTTAAATTAAGACGCACATAACCTTAACGAATTACTCTATATAATATACTCTAAAATGCTGCGGACAAAAGAGCAGTACAGTATTTTTATTGTCTCCACCTGTGTAAAATCTTTGGCACAGCGCATAATAAATCCTAGGGCCCTATTTATATTCTATATTATATTTATATTCTATACGTTTATGTTGATTGTTGTGATTAGTTAGGTACTATTTAATTGTAATTGTTATTAGCTCGACTTGACTTATGTAATTTATTGGTTATTCATTTAAATGATATGTAAGCATATACAGGTTCAGGCTAAGTCTAAATTGTAAATATGTATAGAATGGCTACGAAGTAAGTAGGTAGCTTTGAATGTCCTCTTATTTTCTTGTATAAACGATAGCCAGGCAAATATACTAGACCTCACTATAAAGACGAAGCCTTGTAAATATGGCTACTAAAGTTGTGAAAAATTGCGACATTGGAGCCAGCGTTGTTGGCAGCACTGCACACTTGGAACTTCACTGTAGTCTGTGGCTTGGACGGAGTATAGTTTGTGTCAAAGACATGGTTTACCAAGACATGGCTGTATGGTGTGAAACCTTTGCCTTTTCCTTTACGGAAAGAACTGAAAAAAACAACATGTCAACCAGTGTTGCCATGTGCACCGTAATTACGGTAAATGTACCGTACTCAGCACTTTACCACCTACCGTCGACACATGACAAAACGGTGACAAAATGTACAGTATTATGCAGGAGCTGGCTTTTTGTAGTAAAGCATAGTAAAAGAGGTGCGAGATCGATGTATGCGGTTAATTTAATAATAACCTGCCACTATAAAGAAATCTTTTGATGCAGCAGTCTGTCCAAAGGCATAGGTAAATATGCGTCAATTTTAAGCCTAACGAGGAAATGTTGAAAAGATTACATCAAAACATTTATAAAAATTAAGATATTGTACTTGATAACAGTTGTTTTATAAAAAGGATGAGATTTAGACTAATTTTTACCAAGGTATTCATCTCCTCATTTTTGTAAATATTTAGATTTAATTTTTAATTTTTCTTTTATTATAATTGTAATTTTTCTTTGTAACTAGTAAAAAGTAAATTATTTACTTAAATAGGTATAAGATAAAGTAAGGTAATTCACTGTCATAAAAGGTTACTCTTACAAAGTTAGATTACTATTGAAAGTATAATAAATGAATAATACCTATACCATAATTACACTGTTATTTTTATCCTGGGCTAATCACCGTAATTTCTTAGGATCTACCGTATTTTACGAGCACAATCACCGTCATAGTTTGTGATCACCGTCGACCAGATTTTGGACATGGCAACACTGATGTCAACGTACGTTTGGAGGATTCGCTCTGGGCCTTTTGGAGGGAAAAGGGAGGGCCTTTTGTCGTTTTTATTTTGACTTTCAATTATTTTATGAAATCTAGTTTAAAGTGGAATAGGATAGTGCTACTGTGCCTTAATCGAAGATTAAAACGCGAAATTATACGAATCTCTAACTAAAATACCCGTATCGGCCCGTTCTAAGGAATCCCGAGTCAATCCAAGCACGCCGCCTCAAATTGCCTATCTTCTTTGTGGTGGCAATATTTACAGAAATATAATTAAACGTTTATGTTTTCGGCTGAAGGACATTGTTTCCATGGCCAGTAATAAATTATAAATAAAACAAAAAAAAAACGTACGTCTGGTTAAAATATGGTTTGTGACTTTGCTTTGTGTCATTGTGTTGTAATGTTGTTCAATAATGTTCACGTTGTTCTTAATGTTTTGTAATAGAATGTACATTATAACTAATTTTATTACCATTAATTAATCTGGAGGACAATGAAACTTTCTACTCCACGATACACATTTTGTTTATTTTTCCAATTAGCGTTCATGTACTGCGATCTTATATTTAATTGTGTCAGTTTGTTTCCGAGAAGCCGCGATGGTTTACTCGTTTTATTTATGTAAGTAGGAATTTGAAAACAGATTGCAAAATTTAAATTATCCAATCCATTTTCATATTTACCTCTCTCGTGTTTAGATTCCAGGACCTTTTTCTCGTGCTTTCCGTTACCATGATGCTGATGACATTCTTCTCCACGTACCTATTCCAAGTAAGGACTAGAGCTTTTGATTGAAATGTTAACATGTAGTCAGGTGGTTTCCAACTCAATTGTGTGTATTTGTTTATATTAGGCGCCGCGCAAACGTATGCCGTGTGTTGGATACAAGCAACTGACAACTAGAAGTGATTATTCTATTTTACTATTGTAATTGACTGTCGATTTCTTATCAATTGTATGAAAATGGAATATTCACTTCTAGTTGCCGGTTGCATGTATCCAATACACTTTAGCAGTAGAGCTCCTTGTGAAAGAGTTCATCCAGGATAGTACTGCTACCTTACCTATTTCTGCCACCAAGCGGTAAGCATTACCTCAGATCTTTGCGATTTAAAGCTCTGAGTGGCACTGCAACTGTTACGGACAGGCATGTAGCTTACCACCAGACACACAACTTGCCCATCCCGTCACTTGATGTTATAAAAAAAAATTATAACTTTGAGTATAAATAGATGAATGTTAATAAATGTTGAGTTTTCGCCTTCCTTTTTATTTAGACAGTTGGCCTGCGAGTATCGAAATAATTTTTTATTCATATACAGTTTAACAAGTACAAGCACTTTGATTATCTATATTGAATTGAAAAACTTATGCTAATGTGTGTATCTTCTTTGTATTTTTAATAGACATAATTCTAAATGTAGTTTATATATCGCACCCTTAGTAATATAAGGGCACAATCCAAAAAAAGTAGATTTTTGGGAAATCGCGTATTAAGATTCTGGATTCCTACATTACACCTATTTTTTCAAATAACATGCTTATTATTTAAGTTATAAATATGAAATTTGGCAGATTTGTTCTTTGATAAATGTATTATAAATAGCAATAAAAAAAAAATAATATAAATAAATTCCATAAGTTTCAAGCAAGTTAAAAAAACACTTTCAAGTTAGACCCATATAGTACAAAAAATATAACAGAAATATGGAGCTATATAAGTTTGATCCCATTTATTATTTAAGTCCCTATCAATTCCCAAATTTCCCAAAAATCTACTTTTTTTGGATTGTGCCCTTATATTACTAAGGGTGCGATATGTATGAACTTAAAAATATTGACAATTCAGTGAACCTGTGCCCAGTAGTTGGACGAATAATGGGCTGATGATAATTCAAATGAAAGTTTGGTTAGTCGTTGCATAAGAGTGACCAACATTCAGTAGATAGTCGATAGAATATTTAGCAACTACAATCACTAGCTGCTTGTAAGCAAACAACATTTTTGCACAATGAACATCGTTTACTCCATCTTCATGTTATTGCATTATCAGTGCACTGTACCCCAAATTGCTTAACAAGGTGCTTAAAAGATTGTAGCATATGTACTGACAGACAAACACACATGCTGGAACCACATTTGACTATGGAACCCTAAAAAAACGGTTTATTTGAAGATATCAGCACAAAAGTAGTCTAACCCCATGGAATGCATAGAAGATATAAAATTGTTTTGTGTGTTTCTATGTTTCTGTGTTAAGTATATTTTTGGGGGTTAATGTTGCTCGCTTCCGTAGGTTTACCCTCGAGACCCTACAAGTGACCCCAGAGTGGTGCTAAAGAGCAACAACTACCGGTGGTAGGCTTCGGCCGTGACTGGTAACCACCCTCCCAACGCAGTCGAGTCGCCAAATGGTTTATCCGCGTTCCGGCTCGTGTTCGGGAGTTGCCATTAGGAGGTCGGGTCTGAATAGTTGCATTGCGTCCAACGACGAGTAGTAGCTGCTTGTATTGCCACACTGTGCACTCGGTTCTGGAGGCTAGCGGGATCCGAAGCACGGTGCACTGCTGGCCGACCGTGGGAAGTTGGGGGCCCAAGTAGAGGTAAAGTCACCCCTGAAAGTCTGTCCCACCACCCAACGAAAAATCCCGGAATGCTCCACCTTGCCGGTTGGCGACCGGAGGGGAGGACCAGGTGGCCATCTCCGGGGGGGTTCGGGAGTCCCCGCGGTCTCCAAACCGATTGTACCCTCATGAGGCAGTGTGAGTTTGCTGGTTGGTTGGACGACGTAATGCCTCGTTCATCTGCCTTCCTCCTGCCTATTCGCTTCTCCAATTTAAAATTATGAGTCACAAAAAAATGATACATTTTTCACAGCGGTTGCACGTCCTCCCATTAAAAGTGCACCTCACCAACCTGGAAACCGATAAACCGCAGCTGTTGTTCCTCACCAAGACGCAGATCATATAATCAGATAATGTCCGACTGACACGGCGTACCTCTGCTACCCAGGGTATACTCTGGAGCACAGGTTCCTACCTCGTGCCGGAGTCTGTGTGTACGTTCGTGATGATATCTGTGTCAAGCGTCTCAAGAACCTTGAGGCACCGAGTTTTTCTTTTTTGTGGCTTCTGGTTGACACAGGATTTACCCAAATAGTATACTGCTGTGTCTACCGCTCGCTCAGTGGAGATCAAGAGACAACCAAGCTGTTCCAAGATCTGAGCGAGACGTCTGATGAGGCTCAGCTCAGGTATCCAGCGGCGCAACTAGTCATTCTGGGGGACTTTATGCACACCATCAAGAATGGGTGTTCCCATACCAGATGACCGATCATTTACTCGGTGGTTGTGGATGCACCATTGGGTACCTCTGACCACTGTCTGGTGAAAGTTGTATCCATATACTCCCCACCCCAGGGCCCCAGGGGTACGAGACGGGTGTGGCGATACAGGTTAGCAGATTGGGACGAAATGCGCCATTATTTTGCTTCGTATCCCTGCCAGGCTTGCTTTACTACTGATTCGTAGAGCTGTGCTGATACAGTAGTTGAGGTCTTGCGATTGGGCATGGAGTATTATATACCATACTTCGTTGTAAGCTCGTCCAAGGTTTAACGCGCCTTTACTGCGGCTGGCCTATAATACTGCGGAAGAGAAGGCGAAGAAATTCGCCTCAATTTTTGCAGAGTTCGCGTCTGGATGCCGCAGGATACTTACCACCTTCTTTATCTCAGACTGGATGCACTATGGCGCCAATTCGCATATACCAAAAAGAGGTACTCAGAACTGCGAAGTCTAGACGTGCATAAAGCTAGCGGACCAGATGGAATTCCAGCAATAGTCCTGCGTAACTGTGCGCCTGAGTTGTCTCCTATTCTCACACGCCTGTATCGCCTCTCGCTTGAGACTGGTGTAGTTCCCAGGTCGTGGAAGCTTGCAAATGTGCAACCAGTGCCTAAAAAAGGCAGCAGAGCTACCCTGTCAACTATAGACCTATCTCAGTCACTTCCATACTCTGCAAGACTATGGAACGTGTACTTAACAACCGTCTCCTGTCGTACCTTGAAGACACTCAAGTGTAGTGTACTGGTGTACTGGCGATCTCCTCAGTGATCGCAGTACGGATTCCGAAGAGGGCGATCTACTGGGGATCTTTATGCCTCTCACTTATGGAGCGAGGCTATAGAAGAGCATGGCGAAGCCATTGCAGTGTCTTTAGACATTTCTGAGACCTTTGACAGGGTCTGCCACGCAAGCCTTTTAAGCAAGCTTCCCTCTTATGGGCTTCCCACTGATCTTTGCAATTGGATTTCGGATTTCTTGAATGAACGTTCGATTCGAGTGATCTTAGAAGGCTACTCTTCCGAACATAGGGCGAGAGACGGAGTTCCTCAGGGTTCTGTACTGTCCGCAACCCTCTTCCTGCTGCATATAAGCGATATACTGATTCCAGGTACCTTTGGGTATGCTGATGACAGCAGTTGTGGACAGGTACTTGACCAATGTAAGGGTCAGTGGAGAAGAAATCCAGTCTTGTCGAGAGTCCATGGTTAGTCGTTTGACTTTGACACTTAAGGCAGTCTCCGATTGGGGCGATACCAATCTTGTCAAATTTAATGCTAACAAAATGCAGGCGTGTCTTTTCTCCACTAAACGGAGTCCCTTTCACCTGACTCTGACTTTTCGTTATATGTGTATCCATACCGATAGCCGACCGTCTTCACCTACTTGGAATGGACCTTTCGTTCAATCTGAACTTCGGCAGTTACATTGAATCCATGGCCAAAAATGCAGCCAAGAGGCTTGGCATCCTTTCCAAGGTGAGGCGATACTTCACACCGGGACAGTTGCTTCAGCTGTACCAAGCACAAGTCCGGTTGTGTATGGAGTACTGCTGCTACGGCGAAGCTGCAGAGCCTTGAACGCCGCCGCAGAGTTGCCAGCTTATCGGTATTCTACAGGATATATCACGGAGAGTGTGTGATGGAATTGCATAATTTGATTCCGCCTTCCCCTTTCCATCATCGGGAGACTAGACGTGGGCGGGGGGGATTCCACCCCTATGTTGTGGATATTCCCCGGATTCGTACGAAGTGTTTCGCTTCCATATTTGTATGGCGAGCGGCTAGGGAGTGGAATTCCCTGCCTGCAGACTTGTTCCCCGAACGCTATAACTTGGACCTTTTCAAGGCGAGATTGAATATGGCATTATTTAGGTGTGCATGCTACTCGACCTCATCGTTTCCATTAGGTGAGATGGAGGTCAAATACGTACTTATTTAAAAAAAAAACATAAGTTATCAGCAATGGTCGAAAAAAGGTGTTCCATATAATATATAGATACATGTATAGATATAGCCACAAAGAGCGACATAGCCTTGTTAAAACCACCAAATATTAATTACAGTTTAGAATTCCGGATTTCCGGAAATGGTTTTACTGCGTCGTAGTACAAACCTACTGATCTAGGAAGTCGAAGTTGCATTTTAAAGTAATTCTAAGGCTCAACTTAACTTTTGGCGCAGAGTCGAAGCGTGTCGTCGCCTGATTTTCAACTACAACGCATGGCGACGCTCGCATTAGTGCGCCCGGATCACAGTGTGGTCGGCGTCAGACGCCTCACTGCGCGCAAGGAATGCACGGCAAACCGCTCGACTTTAACCAAGCGTCGATGCGCGAAGGCGCGCGATTCCATATTTGCATAACACAAATTTGTACCTTAATAATGGGAAAATAGAGATGAATATGCTGTAGGCGAAAAACATGACGCGTCGCGACGCTTTGACTCTGCGCCAGTGTGAGTTGAGCCTAAATGAATTTTTTACACGGCACTGTAAAAAATTCAGTAGATAACTGACCTTTTACCAAAACGGAGAATAAAAAGTAACGAGAATGGTCAATCTCCGCCCTTCCCTAGCTTTAGATACTGCATGTTCACATTGTCTCATAGTCACATTGTCATATAAATTCACATGGTCACATTGACGGAACGGCGACATGCTAGTAGAACTTAAGAAAACAAAATAATTTAAAATTTTATTGACGAGGGAAATTTTAGAACATTTTAGTTGCATGAGAATCATGATCACAATCTAAAAAGTTTATTTAAATTTAAAAATACAGTATAACAGATGTTCATAAATTCGAACCACTAGCAAAAATGTCGTATTTTAAAAGGAAAACATGTACGCTAGATTATTTTAATTCTTTTTATAAGAAAAAATCTGCCGGACGCTTAAATAAGCCGAAAAAGTGCCATAGTCGGCCTTACTCATGCACGGCTATTTATCTTTATAACTCATTGACTTACAAATAAATGGACGACGGGTCTAATACACAAACCACGAAAAAAATGTCCCAAGTCAACCTATTTAAACGTAGTGACATGTAAAGGAATACGAAAAAGTCATCGCAGTACTGTCTAATTTTGATTGCTTCGCTGTCAGTCGAACAAACGAAGACTAAAGCGTGAATGACGCTCTGTATACGATTTTAACGCCCTATAAGTTCGGACACTTTTCAGCGCGGACCCGACGTCCATATAATTGTAAGTCAATGTTATAACTAAAGAGTTTCTTTAATCCGGAAATCCGGAATTCGAAACTAATTAATTAATATTTGGTGGTTTAACAAGTTTATGTCCTTGAGCTATACATGTATTTATGTATGTGAAACGCCTCTTTTTCCGACCATTGATTATCAGCACTAAAGGCTATACATAAAAATCATATATGACCAATATATAATTATCAAGTTTTTTTATATAATTATAGCATATACAATAATGGTGGACAAAAATTAAATATGGACTACACCACTTTTGCGTTGTTAGCCTCATTTGAAACGAAGAATTTGTAACAGTAACAGAAAATGCTTGTTGAGCAGGCTGGGCTGGTGGAGGTGTTGGTGCGCAAGTTTCGGTCGGCCGGCGCATTGTGCGCGGCGTACGTGGCCGCCAGCGTGGCGCTGCACGCCGCGTGGCTGCTGGACAAGTGGGCCGCACCCGACGCCGTCTCCACGCCGCTGCTCATATGCCTGTTCACTCTACAGAGATGCTGTATGTACTCATCTTTGGGTTGCGGTTGCTCTGCTAGCTTTTCGCGAACATTATGCAGGTGGACATTGGCTCAATTTAGGTCGGGAACGATTTTTTGTAAAGAAATCTAAAGTGGCGTAATGAACTTTGTCAATTGTGTAACGTACAAAGTAAATACGGCACAGCAGCTACAGAAATTTGAGTCCGCGTGAGAATTCTCCAGAAGATGCACAACATAGAGTACATTATGTTACTATTTAAAAAAGTTTGCTTCCGTTCCGTTCCGCGGCAATGTACTACTTGCCGAGCCTGATAATGTATTTTCTGTGTATATAAAAATGGAATGTTCTAGTGAATGTTCAATCGAGCAAAATAGTTACGCTTGTGTTGAATATTTTTTCATGCAGTTAATTTTGCCACCTTCCCTCCGCATAAAATTAATAAAGAATACAAGCGCAACTACTGTCAGAGACCACCATCAAAGAATATATTTATTTTCCATGTAATGCGCCGTTTGCAGTGTCACCGTGGTACTACTTTGTGTACAAGCGGGCGGCGCTGCGCGTGAGTGATCCTCGTTTTTACGAGGACATCGATTGGATCAACCGGCAGCTCCAGACTCACTGAATATGTTCTTCTTATATGTAGAAAGACGGAAAGCGCAAAAATGTATATTATTATTAATCGAGTTTTTAGGTTTTCGCGATTGTAACACTCAGGAAATGACACTTTGTTTTCGGATCTAAATCGCGTATATTTCTTTTTTATTTATTTTCGGGCCCATAACAGGTCCCTTGGTTACGACAGACAGCAATCACAAAACAAATGTACACATTTTAGATCCAAAAAAATGGTTCATTACATATTATTAAGTTAATAAAATGGAAGTAAATTCTCCGCGGACCGAATGAAGGTTAAATAATCGGTTAAAAATCGTGCAAAATAGCTGCGCTTGTGTTAAATATAATTTTTCCCACTCTTCCTCCGCATAAAATTAATAAAATAAATAACACAAGCGCAACTACAGCCATAAACCACCATCAAAAATAACCCGACACGTGTTTCGCCTCTACACGAGCCATCTTCAGTTGTTGATGATTGCTCGACGCTTGGCCAAAGAATTGATTCTTCACACGATTTAACCTTTAATTTTATTTATTTCGCACGATTTAACCTTCACTTCCGCAAAGTTACGCCTGAATCTATTAATTATTATTAAGTTACATATTATTAGTGTATATAGCATTTAACTTCTAGTCATATTGAGATCTCATTCAACTAATGGGTTTGTTATTGTAAAGAAACATCTGGGATAAAAAACTTTTAAGTACTTAGAGTAATGCAGCTTTTATTATAGAATGTCGTAGGTATACAAACTATACATTGAAAACTATTTACACTTGATAAGTAACAACAAACAATATTTCACTTAATAAACCTCTGAGAAAAAGGCAATTGTCTTATTTATTAACTTTTAATACATTATCATCACAAGAGGCGTGGTGTTGTCAAGCAGAATTTTATTAGTGACGGCTTGGTTAAATAAGATTGTTTAAATTTATATTGTTGTTTGTGGGTTTCAGCATGTTTTGTATGAAATCGTTAAATTTAAGAAACATCTTGCAAAAAGCAGCCTGCAGGCGCCGAGATGCCTAAGGGGTTTGCGGGGGAGGTAACGACCTGGGGCCCAATTCTGTTAATTTCTCTTGAAACCACAAGTCAATGGATGATTGAGATTATATTGCCATTATGGTCATATTTGCTAGTCTATTTTAAATCAAATTGCAATGGCAGTTGAGTTTGAGATAGTATCAGTTAACTGGCAGTGATGTAATTCCTCACTAACGATCGATGTTGCTATGTTGCCTTACTAAAAGTACCATGGAAATGGACTATACCATCGACACGTGCTATCCATACACTATTATTTCACTACACCTTCAACTCGGCAATAACAACTTCTTAAATGTTGTAAGGGTATATGCGCCAACAATGGGGAATGAGGATGGCATCAAGGAACGTTTTTACGAAGAACTCTGTCAATGTCTCAGCAAAATCTGCCCAAGTGAGCAAAAATTGTAGTTGGGCGACTTTAACGCGAGGGTTGGTCAGGATCACGAGTCGTAGCCAAATGTGCTTGGTAAACATGGTGTGGGCAATATGAATAGCAATGAGCGAATGCTCCTGATTTTATGTGCACAATACGACCTAAACGTTACCTTCATTCTATTCAGATTACCAGACAAGTATAAAACGACCTGATCGCGCATGCATGCAATACAAGCATTGCACTTAATTGATTATGCAATTACACGGCGTCGAGACATCTCCCAGGTTCACGTCACTCACGTAATGTGCGAAGCGAACTGTTGGGCAGCTCACAGGTTGGTTATTTCAAAACTGAAATTGCGTCTCCCGTTAACACGCAGGTCTTGTAACCAACCAACATCGTTTGACCTTGGTAGATTGAATTGTCCTGAATTAAGAGAGTCTTAAGAAAATTTAAAGCAAATGAAGGTGAACTGTCGGAAAAATGGCAATACCTGTCTTCTACATTATATTAAACGTGAACGCCACTGAAGTTCTAGGGCCAAAAAAGTAAGTATGTGAAGACTGGTTTGACCAGAATTATAGAGTTTTGTCTACAGCACGGAAAACACCGTGGCCTTCTCAGGCGCTGCGGCAATGACACTCAAATACTATGCACCGAGATTAAGAAAAGTGGTTCGTAACTAAAAAAAATTAACTAGGATTGAAGGATGAGTGGTGGCTTAAAAAGACCGAAAGAATTCAGTGGCTCTCTGACGCCAACCAGCGTGGTGCTTTCTACGAGGAATTACACAGGCTGACTGGTGCACACCAACGGAACAGTACCATTACAATTTTTAGGAGTTAAATTAGCTGATAAGAACGACATACCTACTTGACCGATGGGCAGACCATTTTGAAAATCTGCTCATGTTGATCGATCAGCCGACCTTGATCGTATCAATTCTATTCCACCTTTGTTGGAGCACCTGCTTGGACGAGCCTCCAACGCTGACTGAGGTAGTGCAAGCCATCACAGAGCAGAAGAACAAAAAAGCTGTTGGTGTTGCTCAAGTATGGTGGAGAGTGAATACATTGTCATATATGGCAAATGTTTAAGCGTATTTGGAGCGAAGAAAAAGTACCCGCTGGCAAGAATAAGGGGGACCGTTCCGACTGCAACTCTTACCGAAGCATTCACTTCTCTCCGTGTTAGGAAAGGTATTTGCCAGAGACCTCCTGAACCGACTTATCTCAGTATCGGAGACGTGACTGCCTGAAACTCAATTCGCATTTCGTTCAGACAGGGGTAACTGTGAAGCATAATTTTTCATACGTTAGCTTCACGAAAAAAGTCGTGAGCAGGGGCAACCCCTGTATATGTGTTGTAGACTTGGAGAAGGCCTTTGACTGTGTGCCACGGTAGGCTTTATGGACCATATTGACAAAAATGATGCCCTGAAAAGTTTGTACACTTGATTCGACTTCTGCATGATAGAGTGATGTTGTGTAACTTTCAACGGTGAACAGTCAAGGTCCTTTTCTGTAAGCTGCGGTGTCAAGTAGGGTTGTGATCTCGCACCAACCTTGTTCATACTATACTTTGCAGTTGTGGTGGGAGAAGTTCTCGAAAACTCATGGGCATACGTTTCTGGACAGAAATCTTTAACCTGTCAAGTTTAAAAGTTTCATGAAGTCTGTTTCCGATTCGGTCTAAAAATTAGTGACTTGCATAGTGCCAATATTTCGATTGAGATATTTCTTGATGAATCTGAAGCAAGTGGAGAAGTTTAAGTATTTAGGCAGCACTATCACGTCAATGTGCGACTAGACGACAGCGGCAGATATTCAAACCATATTTGTATTGCAAAAACCAGCGATATCTGATGCGGCGCCAGTTTCGATGGTGTGAGCACGTTTCGCGCAAGTTCGTGACCCTCGATTCACGAGGTTCACAAAGAGTATCTTCTGCCGAATGCTGTCTAGTTGTCGTTCTAGGTGGAGGTACTTTGTGAAAACTCGGGTGATAAAATTTGAGGAGCAGAGACTGTCAGACTTGGACGCGAAATGTGATGCCTTCAAAGCTAAAACACCTGCAGCCATTTTTTACCACTTCGTCGACGGTGTCCTTACGTGGCGCCGCTGTTTGCGGATATTTACCAATAAGATTGGCTACTGTAGCCATCGAAGGGCATACGAAAGAGCAGACAACTGTAGCTCTATTTGTTGTACGAATTCGGCTAGGGTATACGCACACTATTGAAGACCACAATATCAAAAAATTGCAATGGCAGTTGAATAGTAGTTCGGTGGCTAGCAACTGATGGATTTTTAACATAATACCAAATGTACAAAACTCCGTCATCGATACTCTATCGACACACAACTCGGACGATTTGAAATTAGCAGATTCGGGGTCCCGGTCGTTAAACGATTAACTACAGTCACAGGCGCACGTCGAAGGATCTTTTATAGTTTCGAGGCCTCCCCTTTTTGTTTTTTTTCGAGGCCCGTTCAACAAACGCAAGACTGCATCGCACAAGGCGATCGGTAGGTCACTGGTGTATAAAATGGTGGTACAAAGTGGAAAGTCATCAACGGTACGCGCACGGTAGCACCGAAGTCGCACGTAGTTACGCGTACACGCGGATCCGGCGGCGCGGGCGAGCGGACGGGCCCGTCGCCGGCCGCGGGCGGCGCTAGAAGGTCGCGCGGCACAGCGGGCAGGTGGACTTGGCGCCGGTCGCGAACCACGCGCGCTGCGGACAGGACGGGCGGTCAGCGGGCGGGCGGCGGGCGGCGGGCGGCGGGCGGCGGCGCGGGCCGCGGGCGCTCACCAGGCACTCGTTGTGGAACCTGTTGCGGCACTGGCGGCAGGTGACCAGCGGCAGGCGGCCCGTGGACGGGTGCAGGCGGCAGTAGCACACGTAGCACTGCGGCGAGGCGTCGACGCGCGCGTGCAGCGCCGTCATCCACATGCGCAGCGCGTGCAGCAGCGAGCCGTTGCGGTGCGCCAGGTACACGGCCAGCCAGGCCGTGGCCGGCGCCGGCGACCCCGCGCCGGCCGGCGGCGCCGCCACGGCGGGCAGCGACAGCGGGTGCGCCGCGCCCAGCGCCACGCGCAGGCGCACGGGCCGCTCCTCCACCGCGAACTCG